GACATAGATTTTAGATATATACAATCATTCAAAATGTCCTCCCTTATTTTTGACACAGGATCTCAAACGTTCGGGCCACTGATCTATGGCCTCACGCACCTTTTCTAAGGGTATTTCTTTCATTGCTCTCACTAATACTGAATTCAATTGATCCAAATTATGGTATCTTTTAGAGCACACCTTTTCCTCTAAATATGGCCACAAACTGTAAAAATGGGTTTAAATCAGGAATTCCAGAGGGCCATATATTGGCCTTAATGAACTCCGGAACATTCGACTCCAACCATTGTTTAGTTGATTTAGCTTAGTGAGCAGGAGCTGAATCTTGTTGAAATATCCAATGTTCTCCATTAAACATTTTTGTATTCAGAGGCTTTACTATTTGTTCCAAAATATCTTCTTGATAGTTTTTAGCTTTTTTAAAATCCATTTTGCACAGAAGTGGGGATCTGTTACACTTTGGTAGCTAACTCTAGAGAGCTACGAGCATATATATTTTCTCGTCTGTGAAAATGATTCTCTCATGCCACCGACCATCATGCCGCGCCAACAACATTTTTGATCTACCCTTCTAATGTCTCTAAGAGCAGGAGTTATCAAATGACCTGTGCGTCGTTTGAAAACTCTCAGTCCTGGAAACGGTTCTTGGAGCTAAATTCATCCGCTTTGCTAAGATCTTTTGTTTGCGACGTGTATTTCGACGAATTATTTTGCGAAATGGCTTTTATAGCTGCTTGCGTTCATTGCACGCGCGGTCGACCAGATCTTTCAAGGTCATTAAAATTGCCAGCCTTGTTGAACCTTTCAATGGTTCGATAAACAAATTGACGCGTAATATTCAAATTTTGTAAAAGTTTAAAAATGGATGAAGGACTTTGGCCTACCTTGTGTAATGCTATTACATCTATACGGTTTTCTTTAACACCCCAATCCATTATTAAAAAACAAATATATTCCGATTTTTTTTTCTAAACACGTGTGCACGAAATATTCAAATAACAACTACTGTATTTTAAATACTTCACGCGGTTAAATTAAAATTTTATCACTGATTTGGATTTGTAACAATATTTATGGCTAAACTAAGTAATATAATATATATAGTCAATTTTATAAATAATAGCATTTTGATTAAAATAAAGTGTAGTAAACAAAATTACAACCGTTTCTTTCATTTAAAAGACAAGCTTTCAAACGTGAATCGTTTTTCTACAAGCCATATACACAAATTAATGAATTCCCTCTGTTCGTATTCACCAGAGTAAATTCCATATATAAATATCGAAAAAACAATTATATAATTCAAGGACATACTCAATTTTGGACTACCTGAACCAATGGAGCATTGCCTCATGTCTTTTTAATAGCCAGAAATGAAAAAGTAGCAAAGGAGTATATGATTATGTCAGGACAATCATTATTCTTCACAGATCAAACAGGCCGTGGCTAAGTGTTCTCTCTCCATATAATGCTAGCTGCTGAAAGGTTGGTTATATTAACATATTTTATTACAGTTGGTGAAGAAGTGATATAGACCACCAATTTTGACAACCAATACCCGAGATCGAATCCTGAATTAGGTACTTTTTTACTTGAAAAAATCAGCTCCATCGGCTCCAGATTCTTACAAAGATCCAAAGCTACCAATAAGTGAAAGCAACCATACAGGATTCTAGCATACTTGTAAGAGTAAAAGCTGTCCTGCACGTGCACCGTGCGCCTTTTCTATATGTGTAGAAAGGTGATACACTTATAATGGGAGCAATCGCTAACTACCTTTCATGACACCGGTACGATGGGTATGCCTGAGATAAAGAAAAATATAAAACCTAATCGGGGGCATTATGTGACTTTAATACTTTTAATCTGGTGTTGGTGAAATCTTGGTTTATACATTCATTCACCGATTGTTGAATTGTAACATAATGTAATTGTAATTATATACAATGTACATTGAAACATGTTCCAAGAAATTACCCATCAATTAATGTTTATAAATATAAAAAATTATATCAAGTATAATCTCTTAAATTATACTCACTTTTCAAATCGAAACATATATCTGCAATATTTTTTTCTGCGAAAAATAAAACCCCTGGGAAAATTCCCTAATGAGATGTCTCTCAAAATTTTCTTCGAATAATCTTTTTTTTTAGATTCTATAAGATCATCCTCTATTTCCTTATCGCTAGAAGCAAGTTCAGGGGTTTAGGGTGGCCGAGAAGAATCTGGCTTTCATTCTTTATCTGATATTCGAAACATGTAGGCAAAGTGTGAGAGCTCGCATTGTCATTATGCATATTTTAACATATGTAGAGACCTCAGGGTGTTGTAATAAAAAAGGGAGATTAAAATATAAGCCCCAAATGCACACGTAAAATAACTTTATTAAACCCATATTTGATATTTCAAAGAGTTTTAAAATATAACTCTTGGAGTTTGACATTTGCAATGTTTCGTATTATAGGGTAGGCGCGTGCAGAAACATACTTTGTTAGAAGGACATCCTCCGCAAAAATAATTATCCACTGGCATTCTTCTATTTTCGGCCCTGCAACATCCACACACAACTCTTTCTATTCTACTATTCATTCTAGATGTTTCGATATAGTTTAAATAATCTCTCAGACAGATAAAAGATTTTAGTGGAGAATGGTATAGACCGCCAATTCTCGACATGCATGACTCTCGATCGAATCCCGCTATGGGAACTTTTTATCTGAAGAAAAATTGCTCCAATGATCCTTGATTCTTTGAACTGTAATTGTCCCACCAGTAAAAAAAAACGGTTTCTGGCATACTTGTAAGTGCCAGTAAAAAAGGGTTTCTGGCATATTTGTAAGTGCAAAAGTCGAACTGTTTTATATATGTATGTGGATAAATATGGGGCACCTACAGTAAAATCCAACCATGAATATAATGGTTTCTAAAACGTGTACTAAATATGGATATCAATATTCTACAAAATTCACCTTTCACACACTCAAAATTACAATATATATATATCATCTATGAAATAAACAATAAAGTATTAATAAAAATATAATTTATGTAGAAAATAATATGATATAATTATTTATAACATTTCCCCCCTTTGAAATATAGAGTTTAGGTTAATATATAAAAAGGTGAAAGTGACAGTTGAGAGAGTTACATTTAAAAAATAATTAAGAAATAGCAAGAAAGATATGTGGCATGTGATTGTCCTTGATCATATTAGATTTGTAATCTTAATAGATAGGGCAAAGACAATGCTAAATTAAGATAATTAACAATCAAATGAAAAGGAATAGCTAATATGCAAGGTATTTATACATAAAAAAAAAGAAAAAAAAAGTTACATTTATAATTGACAGGTGGCAACACTAGTTTAATTATAAGCAAAAAAAAAATGCATTTTTTGTCAACAAAGAATAAACAAATATATATAAGAAAAATTATGCAAACAAGGAATGCTTATTTAAATAAAGAAAATTAAGTGAAAGTAATAATCATACCCAAAAAAAGACAATGTGATCTAAGAATAACAATTTACATAAATATGTGTTAAAAGACAATAAGCAACTGTTTATCTTTCTCGATTGAAGCAGGTTTTAATAAATTAGAACTATTGTAATATGGGTTATCCTGATCCAAAATAGAAACACAATCGCTTATAGAAGGCTCACCACTATCAAGAGTTATTAAATCTACATTTTTTAAATTTCCTTGATTGTCGAACTGTTTTGTATATGATGTGTTATTTTAAAGTTGTCTGATGGATGAAAATGTTTTAATTTGTTTGCATGTATGATTTCTGTTTGTTTCTTTTGAGGTTGGTTTGGTCTGTCAATTTCATAGGTGACTGGGGATAACTGTTTTAGTATTGTATATGGTCCATTATATTTACTAGTTAGTTTTCCTGTATTGGGGTAGAAAAATGTCTGAACTAATACCTGATCGCCTATTTTAAAATCTGGAATGGGGTGTGTTTTATCGTAAATTATTTTACTGTTTTCATAGGATTTTTGGGTTCTTTGAATTGCTAGTTTTCTTTATTCTTCTATGGGTGGATAAGTTTGTAAATTTAAGTCGGTTGTTGTGTCATAGGGATGGATGCCTAGCAGAAGATACATAGGGGTAAATCCGGTAATAGTATGGGGGGTTGAATTATATTCTTTTACTACATCTGGAAGGTGCTTGGTCCATGGTATATTTGAATGTGTATTATATTTGCATCTAAGTCTATTAACTATTGTAGAATTCAACCTTTCAACTTTTGCATTTGTTTGTGGATTATGAGAGCTTGCTAATAAATGTTTAACGTTATGCTGCTTAAGGAAATTTTTAAATCTACTACTTAAAAAGGCTGGTGCTCTATCACTAATTAACTTTGAGGAATGGGTTTGGAATATTGTTTTCAAGCATGTGATATATGAATCTACTGTGGTGGATTTACTAGGGAATGCCCATAAATAATGAGATAGGTGATCAACTATTAAATGAATGCTATGTTTGGATGATCCGTATTTATGTAATCCCCCTAAGGTATCTATAGAAAAAATATGATATGGTTCTGTGGCTGTGGGTAACGATTGTAAGGGTCCATATATTGGTCTATTATCTCTCGATTTATTTATCGACAGGTTTCACAATGCCTAATGTAATTAACTATATCTTGTGTCATATTTGGCCAATAATATTGTGGAAAAATAGTTTTTGTCATTTGTGTGGTTCCTATATGTCCAAATTGTGTATGTACTTTTTCTAACAAGTTTTCCCTAAGTTTAAGTGGCACATAAATTCTATTAAATCCCTTTTTTGTTCTTACAAATATACCATTTTGTGTTTTATTCCTATTGTGTGAAAAGTCCTCTTGTTGTTGATACTGCTTGATATCTGTTGATTAAAAAAAAAGAGTAATTGGTGTTCTGGACAACATATCAGCTTCAACATTTTGTGAACCTTTTATGTGTTGAATGTCAAAATCATATTGTGTTAACAGTAATGACCATCTATATATTCTACCTGAAGGGTTTTTAAAAGTTTTAAGCCATTTTAACGGCATATGATCTGTATGTAAAGTGAAGTGTATATTATGAATATATGGGTGAAATCTTTGGGTTGCTGCGATTATATCTAATGTCTAATTGGGTTGCTGCATAATTCCGCTCATATTTGTGTAACTTTCTAGAGAAATAGGCTACTGGGTGTAAAATTCCTTGCTTATCTGGTTGTTTAAGTATTGCTCCTACGCCAAACAAAGATTAATCTGTAAATATATGCAGGGGTTTTTGCGGATCATATAGCTGTAAAATGGGTTTGTCATCAATGCATTTTTTAAAGTCTGAAATGATTGTTCCTGATCTTGATTCCATTGCCATGGTGAATTTTTCTGTAAAAGGGTGTTAAGTGGTGCTCTGATTTTTGCATAATGAGGTATGAACTTATGGTAGACATTTATATACCCTAAAAAAGATTGTAATGTTTTCATATTATACGGTCTTTGCAATTTTTTAATGGCCTCAATATTTGCATTACTTGGCGTATATGTGCCATTTTTAATTGTATATTCTATAAAATGTATTTCATTTAGAAAAATCTGGCATTTATTAAAATTGAATTTGATATTTTCTTTTTTTAGCGCATTTAAAATATGATCTAAGTGTTGTAAATGTTCCTGGAAATCTTTAGAAAATACTATGATGTCAAAATAATTTAAAGCATAGTGGATATCAAATTTTTGTAAAATATTTTGTATAACCCTATTAAAAATACTTGGTCCATTTTTTTGTCCATATGGCATCCTATTCCATTCATAGCACCCTTGTTGACAAACAAATGCTGTTTTGTCTTTGTGCGTTTCCGCTATGGGAATGTGCCAATAGGCATGTTTTATATCAAGAGAGGTGAAAATTTTAGCATTTCCCAATCTATCTAAAATTTCTTCTATTAGTGGTATAGGAGCATTTTCAGTTTTAGTAATTAGATTTAGCTTTCGAAAATCTATACAGTCTAAGAGGACGTCCTGTGATATAAGATTTCTTTTGTACTAATAATATGGGTGATACATATGCGCTGCAAGATGGTCTTATAATATTATATTATAATAATTCGTGAATTTGTCTATTAATTTCCGTATTATTTGCATAAGATGTTCTGTAAGGCTTCTGTACGATTAGCGTATCAGTTGTTAATCTAAAAGTGATGGGTAAAGTATTTATTAATCCTACGTCTAAATCATTGTTGGAAATGATTCAGGAAGACGGCTCTAGATGGCGCGCGCCAAGGGATGCGCCACAGAGTGCGCCACAGAGTCCGTCCACGTGACCTTATACGACTATAAAAGCCGGCGAAAAAGGTATGAGACAGGCGCGCGGGAAGAGTGAGAGTCTGCAGATTAGGAGAGGGAATCAAGGAGCTCGAGCTCAAGTGAAAAGGCAAGAGAGGTTTATAAGAAGCCTGAAGATAAAGTCTAAAGTATAAAGAAGATAAAGTCTAAAGTATAAAGAAGATAAAGTCTAATGTATAAAGAAGATAAACTCTAAAGTATAAAGAAGTGTAGCTGAAGCTAGAGTTTGAGGAAGTGAAGCTAAAGTATAAAGAAGTGAAGTCTAGAGAAGTGAAGCTAAAGTATAAAGAAGCTAAAGTCTAGAGAAGTGAAGCTAAAGTATAAAGAAGCTAGAGTATAAAGAAGCTAAAGTCTAGAGAAGTGAAGCTAAAGTATAAAGAAGCTAGAGTATAAAGAAGCTAAAGTCTAGAGAAGTGAAGCTAAAGTATAAAGAAGCTAGAGTATAAAGAAGCTAAAGTCTAGAGAAGTGAAGCTAAAGTATAAAGAAGCTAGAGTATAAAGAAGCTAAAGTCTAGAGAAGTGAAGCTAAAGTATAAAGAAGCTAGAGTATAAAGAAGCTAAAGTCTAGAGAAGTGAAGCTAAAGTATAAAGAAGCTAGAGTATAAAGAAGCTAAAGTCTAGAGAAGTGAAGCTAAAGTATAAAGAAGTGTAGCTGAAGCTAGAGTTTGAGGAAGTGAAGCTAAAGTGTGAAGAAGTAGAGTTTAATGAAGTGAAGGTAAAGTGGGGGGATATGCGAATTTTGTTGTTAATAATTTATGTTGTGTATAAATTGGAGCCAACGATAAAAGGTTATGGTAAATACAATGTGAATACATTTAGCATATTTTCTATTTTATTGATCTAGAACATTATATGAGGAGGCTAGTGGTGAATGTTCACAATTATGACAAGGATTATAACAATCTTGAACTTGTGTTTCTCATTTTCAAATGTTTGAATAAATAAGAGAGTAAAATGTCTAGAGCAACTATATGTAAAAATATATGTGACAAATTATTATAGATGCTTATATTTCAATTAAATTACATTATACAGATAAAAGTGAAGGGATTAATTTTCATAATCTCTATATATATAAAAGTCAATTCCTGTCTGTCTGTCTGTTTCGCGATAAACTCAAAAACTACTGAACCAATTGGTACCAAATTTTGCATGTCGCTTTTTATAAACCTGAGGAAAATTTTTGGATACAATTTGCTTAGTATTTTTGGCTATTTCTTTTTTTCATTTGAAGAACTTTTTTTTACGCGGAGTAAATACGACGGAAAGTAACAACACGAGGCCAATTAAGCGACCAATGAGCGTTCTGCATTTCTTTTCAGAGAGAAATTTATATTACTAAGTTAAGGTAAGTTTCACACAATTAAAAAAAAAAACTTTACAAAATTAGCGTTACTGTATGTAAACAATGGCTTTCTTATTTTTTATTCATTTTTGTTCTGGCCTTTGTGTTTTTTTACAGTCAATATGATATAATTCTTAAAATTAAACAAACAATAGTCAATAAGCAAAAAATACAGTAGTGAACATTTAATATGATTTACTGTCTCATTTAACAGCCAAAACATGTGTTTGTCTAAAATTTATATTGCTAAGTTAAAAAACGTTCACACAATGCAATTAAAAAAAAAAACATTACAGAATTAGCTTTACTGTATGTAAACAATGCCTTTCTTACTTTTTTTTATTAATTTTTGTTCTGGCCTTTGTTTTTTTTTTTTTTTTACAGTCAATATGATAATTCTTAAAACTAAACAAACAATAGTCAATAAGCAAAAATACAGTAGTGAAAATTTAATATGATTTACTGTCTCATTTAACAGCCAAAACATGTGTTTGTCTAAAATTTATATTGCTAAGTTAAGGTACGTTCACACAATGCAATTAAAAAAAAACATTACATTTATTAATTTTTGTTCTGGCCTTTGTTTTTTTTTTACAGTCAATATGATAATTCTTAAAATTAAACAAACAATAGTCAATATGCAGAAAATACAGTAGTGAAAATTTACTATGAATTACTGTCTCATTTAACAGCCAAAACATGTGTTTGTCTATAATCCATATACCCTTTGGTTTTTATCAGCCTGAAATATTAACATGGCTATTTTGGCATTAGTTTTTTTTAGTATTATTATTTTTTTTCTGACATGTTGATAGGGCACTACATTTTACAAAGTTACGGTTAGTAACCAATGCAGATTTGACAATATTTACAAACTTTTATTACTGTATATACACAATGGGCTTATGTTTTTTAATTGTTGTAATGGCCTTTGTTTTGTTATTCTTTTAAAAAAATCATATGTTTTGGGTCTGCACTGTTTTCCTTATAAGCTTTTTTTTGTACTGATTGTGCTATTTCTGTTTTTTTAGGACATATTTTCAAATTGAATCATCCCATTTGATATGCCTCGCAAAAGATCTGCAATTGGAATAAGTACACCTGCAGCTCGACGCATGGCTGCCCGAGCTGCTAGAGGCCAAAGTAGCCGCACATTGGAGAATCCCCAACAGTCTCAAGCCCGCCTCCAAAGTGACCGGCTGCGCCACAGAGTTCAACACGCATCAGAGATTCCCCAACAGTCTCAAGCCCGCCTCCAAAGTGACCGGCTGCGCCACAGAGTTCAACGCGCATCAGAGAATTCCCAACAGTCTCAAGCCCGTCTCCAAAGTGACCGGCTGCACCACAGAGTTCAACGCGCATCAGAGACTCCCCAGCAGTCCCAAACACGACAGGAGGCTTACCAGTTGCGGTATTTCAGGCAACGAGCTAGCACTTGGGCTGATATGCTCAATGCTGCTTTCCATTACAATCTGGCCCTGAATTATGAACAATTTACTTTTCTTCAGATTGGCCATATGGATAAACAATGTCAACATTGTACTGCCTTTAAGTACAATGGTGAGCGGCCTGGAATGTGCTGTTCTGCAGGTAAGGTCAGAATTCCCGATTTACCTGAACCCCCAGAAGCTCTCAGAACTCTGCTCGATGGGTCTTCTCCTCACTCGGCTGAGTTCATGCGACATATCCGTCACTATAACAATGCCTTCCAAATGACATCTTTTGGGTGTGGTAGTCGTGTTGTGTTGCCAGGTTACATGCCAACGTTTAAGGTCCAAGGCCAGGTCTATCATAGAATTGGCTCTGTTTTGCCACCACTCAACTCTGATAGCCGCCAACTACAGCCAGCATTCCTTCAGGTTTTCTTCATCGGAGATAGTAGTGCAGAGGTTGCCACCCGCCATAGAAACTTTCCCATCACTAAGCCCCACATTGTTAGCATTTTGCAAGATATGTTGCATCAACATAATCCTTATGTCCATTTGTTCAAAGCTTCCATTGAAAAAATGCCTTCTCCTGATTACAAGTTGGTCATTAAGGCTGACAAAGCACCGCCTGGACACCATCCTCGCACATTCAATGCTCCAACCATTAATGAGGTTGCCATTGTTATTGTGCAGGAAAACTGTGACAGACGTGACATTGTTCTTTCCAAAAGAGGCAGTGGTGTGCAGAGGATTAACGAGTTTCACAGGTCTTATGACGCCCTGCAATACCCATTGGTTTTTTGGAATGGTCAAGATGGTTATCATTTCCATATCCCTCAGCTGATTAATGGGGTTCCTTCGGCGCACAAGACGGTTTCTTGCATGGATTTTTATACTTCACTGCTAATGATTCGTAGCCGTAATCCTGGCATAACAAATTGGTTACTGGCTTTTGGAGATTTGACCCATCAAATTCTGGTCGACATTTATGCCAAGGTGGAATCTGAAAGGCTGCATTACATCTCAGCGCATCAAGCTCAACTTCGTGCAACCGAATACATCAATCTGTTAGATGCTATTCGCACTGACAGGAGTCATGCCCTTATTGGAAGACAAGTTATTCTTCCTTTGTGGGCAGTCCAAGGCACATGCATGAGTATGCCCAGGATTGCATGGCTTACGTCCGTAAATATGGTCACCCAGACCTTTTTATTACATTTACATGCAATCCCGAGTGGCCTGAGATAAAACTAATGCAGTTCCCCACCCAAGGTGCATTTGTTCGGCATGACTTGGTTGCTCGCATTTTTCAATTGAAAGTTACCAAGCTTATAGATTTGATCACCAAGGGTGATGTTTTTGGCAAGCCCCATGTTGGTGTTATACCATTGAATGCAAAAGCGAGGGCTACCACATGCTCATATTTTATTGTGGCTTAAAAAAAAGATTCGCCCAAACCAGATTGATTCGATCATTTGTGCTGAAATCCCCAATGCGGAGGTTGATGCTTCACTGTTTCGGACTGTAACCAAAAATATGATTCATGGGCCATGTGGACATGGGTATCCTAATCCTGGCTGCATGGAACGGGGTAGATGCCAAAAGAAATATCCACGGCTACTCTTGGCTGAAACGCAGACAGATAGGGATGGCTACCCATTGTACAGACGTCGCAGGCCTGAGGAAGGTGGCTTTTCTTTTGTTAAAAGAGTGAGAGTTTTCACCATTGAGAATGGTGTTCAGGTTGTGCGCATGACTAATGTTACCATTGATAATAGGTATGTTGTGCCATATTCGCCTCTTCTATGCAGACTATTTGATGCTCACATCAATGTGGAGTCCTGTGCTTCAATCTCTGCTATAAAATATATCTGCAAATACATATACAAGGGTTCAGACCAATCAACTTTTGCAGTTACTGGTGCTCAAACAGAGTCTAATGAAGTGCTAGAGTACCAACATGGTCGATATATTAGTAGCAATGAAGCTGTTTGGCGCATTCTGGGATTCCCTATTCACAGACGCCATCCAATGGTTCAACATCTCTCTGTACACTTAGAAAATGGGTAGCGTGTATGTTTTACTTCTGCTAATGCTGCAGTACAGGCTCACCGTCCACCTAAGACCACGTTGACAGCATTTTTTGCCCTTTGCCAGCGCGATAACTTTGCAAAAACACTTCTCTATGTTGAAGTTCCTGTTTACTACATTTGGTCTGCTTCTAAATCATGGCAGCCTCGAAAACAAGGCACTCGCATTGCTGACCAAGTTGCTTTTGCTTCTGATGCTATTGGCAGAGTCTACACCGTTCATCCAAATTTTGAGGAATGTTTTTATCTTCGCATGCTGCTTCATAGTGTTCGTGGTCCGACTTCTTTTGCAGCCCTCAGAACAATCAATGGTGTGCTCTGTCAAACATATAAAGAGGCATGTCTGCATTTGGGGTTGCTTGAGAATGACCAGCAATGGCATCATTGTATTCAGGAAGCAGTGCTAAGTGAGTCTCCTTTAAAAATCCGGGAACATTTTGCTATTATTCTTACCTGCTGCCACCCTACCAACCCTCAAGATATCTGGGCACAATTTAAAGAACCAATGTCTGCAGATATTCTGAATCTTGCCAGACAGCAAGCCAATGACGGTCTTTTACAGCTGACATCCGAAATGTCAAATCAGGCTTTAATACTTTTAGAACGAAAGGTTCTGCAAATGACTGGTTTCCATTTGACAAAGTTTGGCATGAGGTCCCCACAGCGCAATGTTACTCACCGAGCCAGTCATGAACTTTTAAGAGAAACATCGTATGATCTCAGCAGGTTACTACAATTTGTGGCTTCGAATGAACCGAAACTTGTCAATGTCCCTGAATAAAAGGAGGCTTACGATAGGATCCTTTCTAAAATTGATTCCAATGCTGGCGGATTGTACTTTCTTGATGCTCCGGGGGCACAGGAAAAACTTTTCTGATCAATCTTCTTCTTACAAAGGTACGAAGTACTGGGGACATTGCTCTTTCTACAGCTTCTTCTGGTATTGCGGCCACTCTGTTGCATGGTGGCAGAACTGCTCATTCCACTTTCAAATTACCCTTAGATTTGACCAGGGATGAGGTACCAGTTTGTAATTTGAATGCTGATTCCGCAATGGGTGAAGTTCTTAGACAATGCAAATTTATTGTCTGGGATGAATGTACTATGGCACACAGGCATGCTTTAGAGGCAGTTGACAAACACTTAAAGATTGTAGGCAGGATCAGAGACCAATGGGAGGTGTAGTGTTGTTGTTGGCCGGTGACTTCAGGCAGATATTGCCCATTATCCCTAGAGGTACAATAGCAGATGAGTTGCATGCTTGCTTAAAGGCATCCCCACTTTGGTCATTTGTTGAAAGACTTACTCTTTCAACAAATATGCGGGCTGTCAATTCAGGAGATCCCAACTCACTGTTATTTTCACAATTTTTGCTTCAACTAGGAAGTGGCCAACTTAATGATACGGATGGTAATGTTAATTTTTTAAATGAATTGGTTAACACTGTTGACTCCCTCTCTGGCCTAAAGAATAGTGTTTTTCCTAACATTGGGGAGATGTTTAACCGGGGAAGGGCGAATTACTATCCTTGGCTTTGTGAGCGGGCAATTTTGGCTCCAAGGAATTGTGTAGTTGATGACATAAATGCTCAGCTTTTGAAAGAAAAACCAGGGCAAAGCATTTTATATACTTCTGTGGATTCCACCATTGATGCTGAGGATTGCGTGGAATATACAACAGAGTTTTTAAATTCTTTAGAACCTTCTGGGATGCCACCACATCACTTAGAACTTAAGAGTTGGTGTTCCCATTATTTTATTGAGAAATATTGATGCACCCCGCCTTTGCAATGGTACCCGTCTCTGTGTTAAAAGATTGTGGCCTCATGTGGTAGAGGCAACCATTTTAACTGGTTGTTTTCAAAATGAAGAGGTTTTTATTCCCCGGATTCCTCTGATTCATGATGATAAACATTCTCCTTTGCATTTTAAAAGATTGCAGTTCCCCATTCGAGTTTCTTTTGCCATGTCGATTAACAAGGCTCAAGGTCAGTCCCTCAAAATTGCTGGCATTGACTTGGAGCAACCCTGTTTCTCGCATGGGCAATTGTATGTTGCCTGCTCTAGAGTTGGCTCAGGAAGAAATCTTTATGTTTTGGCTCCAGAAAATAAGACTTCAAATTTTGTGTATTCTTCTGTGTTGTCATGAATAAATTTTTTTTAATGCTATTTTAGTCTTTTTTTTTTTGTTGTTTGAGTGGTATATTATTTTCATAATTCTTTCTATATACGTATATATTTAATGACAAAATATTGATGCACCCCGCCTTTGCAATGGTACCCGTCTCTGTGTTAAAAGATTGTGGCCTCATGTGGTAGAGGCAACCATTTTAACTGGTTGTTTTCAAAATGAAGAGGTTTTTATTCCCCGGATTCCTCTGATTCATGATAATAAACATTCTCCTTTGCATTTTAAAAGATTGCAGTTCCCCATTCAAGTTTCTTTTGCCATGTCGATTAACAAGGCTCAAGGTCACTCCCTCAAAATTGCTGGCATTGACTTGGGGCAACCCTGTTTCTCGCATGGGCAATTGTATGTCGCCTGCTCTAGAGTTGGCTCAGGAAGAAATCTTTAAGTTTTGGCTCCAGAAAATAAGACTTCAAATTTTGTGTATTCTTCTGTGTTGTCATTAATAATTTTTTTTATGCTATTTCAGTCTTTTTTTTGTTGTTTGAGTGGTATATTATTTTCATAATTCTTTCTATATACGTATATATTTGAAGAGGTTTTTATTCGCCGGATTCCTCTGATTCATGATGATAAACATTCTCCTTTGCATTTTAAAAGATTGCAATTCCCCATTCTAGTTTCTTTTGCCATGTCGATTAACAAGGCTCAAGGTCAGTCCCTCAAAATTGCTGGCATTGACTTGGAGCAACCCTGTTTCTCGCATGGGCAATTGTATGTTGACTGCTCTAGAGTTGGCTCAGGAAGAAATATTTATGTTTTGGCTCCAGAAAATAAGACTTCAAATTTTGTGTATTCTTCTGTGTTGTCATGAATAATTTTTTTTAATGCTATTTTAGTCTCTTTTTTTGTTGTTGTTTGAGTGGTATCTTATTTTCATAATTCTTTCTATAAAAGTATATATTTGTATATATTTGAAAGGTAAAATCTCTAGAATTAGAATATTCAAGGACAGTTGCAGATTATTATGATTTATATTAATATTAGTTTTTTTTAAATTATTTTTCAGAAAAACATCTACGAATGTTTGACTGGGATCTGAAAACCTTAGATTACAGGCTGCTGGCTAGGCTTGGTCAATCACGGTCACTCTTCTCAAGCAATTTCAATCCTTATCCCTTTTTTACCCAAAGAGTGTAATAGAGCTACAGAGGATGCACCACTATATATATGTTAAAAGTCGTGACATAGTATGTAAATATCTTTTTGAATGTATGACTGGAAATGTAGATTTTCTATTGAATGTATAAATTATTATTATGTAAATTCCTTTGAATGTATATAACTAAGCCGTGTTGTGGAAATAAAGAGTTTCATAGTAGAGCGAGAGCTTCTGCGTGTGTAGCCGCTGGTTTTTGTCTTCGTTATTTTCTTTTCTTGCTTGATCACCTGAGGCAGCCCAAACTACATCAAAACTTTAGGTCAAAGTTTTACTTGTTAAGAGGAGGTTTCTTCAATCTGACCTCGCGTACCTTAACATTTAATGGCGTCCCCGGGTGGGCTGCATCGGCTGGTCAAGTTGAGAAAAAGCCTGCAGAGCCTGGGAATCAAGGAACTCGTGCTCAGGAAAAAGAGCTCAGTGAAGTATTAGCCTGCCGAAGTGCAGAGGAAGTATTAGCCTGCCGAGTAGCAGAGGAAGTATTAGCCTGCCGAGGTGCAGAGGAAGTATTAGCCTGCCGAGTAGCAGAGGAAGTATTAGAGCCTGCCGAGTAGCAGAGGAAGTAGTGGAGCCTGCCGAGTAGCAGAGGAAGTAGGAGAGCCTGCCGAGTAGCAGAGGAAGTATTAGAGCCTGCCGAGTAGCAGAGGAAGTAGTGGAGCCTGCCGAGTAGCAGAGGAAGTAGGAGAGCCTGCCGAGTAGCAGAGGGAGAGTGAGAATCTGCGGAGCTCAAAGGAACAGAAGCTCAAGAAGCTCGGGCTCAAGAAGCAGAAGCTCAGGAAGCTCAAGGGAACAGAAGCTCAAGAAGCTCAAAAAGCTCAAGCTCAAGAAGCAGAAGCTCAAGAAGCTCAAGGGAACAGAAGCTCAAGAAACTCAAGGGAACAGGAGCTCAAGAAGCCCTTTGTTAAAGGTTTAAAGGAGCTCGAGAAGCCCTTTGTTAAAGGTTTAAAGGAGCTCGGGAAGCCCTTTGTTAAAGGTTAAAAAGAGCTCAGTGAAGCTCAAGGTTTAAAGGAGCTCAAAAAGCCCATTGTTAAAGGTTAAAAGGAGCTCAAAAGGCCCTTTGTTAAAGGTTAAAAAGAGCTCAGTGAAGCTCAAGGTTTAAAGGAGCTCAAGAAGCCCTTTGTTAAAGGTTAAAAAGAGCTCAGTGAAGCTCAAGATTTAAAGGAGCTCAAAAAGCCCTTTGTTAAAGGTTAAAAAGAGCTCAGTGAAGCTCAAGGTTTAAAGGAGCTCAAGAAGCCCTTTGTTAAAGGTTAAAAAGAGCTCAGTGAAGCTCAAGGTTTAAAGGAGCTCAAGAAGCCCTTGGTTAAAGGTTTAAAGGAGCTCAAGAAGCCCTTTGTTAAAGGTTTAAAGGAGCTCAAGAAGCCCTTTGTTAAAGGTTTAAAGGAGCTCAAGAAGCCCTTTGTTAAAGGTTTAAAGGAGCTCAAGAGGCCCTTTGTTAAAGGTTTAAAGGAGCTCAAGAAGCCCTTTGTTAAAGGTTAAAAGAAGCTCAAGGGAAAAGTGAAGCTCAAGTAAGCAAATAAGTTGAAGAAGCTACAGGGTGAAAGGCTACCTACAAGGTAAAAGGATACCTACAAGGTGAAAAGATAACTACAAGGTGAGATGGAGGATGTTAGCAGAAGGCGTAGAGAGGCGATAAGAGGCGTTTTTACCGAAGTGGTAAATGATATAAATATAGAGTTAAGGGATCCTCTTGTTGATAAAAGAGGCATATATGCAAAATTTGAGAGATTGGAATCTCTCTATTTGGAGTTGGTGGCATTGAACGAACAATACCAGGAAATTTTATTGGCCCAAGAGGCTATTAGCGACGATGAAATTGATAAAGAATTTGAGGAGTGTGAAACCTACATCACGGAAAGATATTATTTAAAGGCCAGAATTCGCGTAATGCGTGAGCAGGATAGGGATGCTCAGGCCAAGACTTCTCAAATTCTACCAGGGGCGTCTAGTGCCTCTCCGAATTCAGAAACCGATAATCAGAAAGTTATCAAACTTCAGACTACTTCTACGTCTCTATGGAAAAGCCCGGAAGAGTCCAGAAAAATGAAATTGAAGGCGCGGAAAAAGAGGATTCTGTAAAAACTGCTAGAGCTACGGATGTGGAGCCAGCTCTAGCTAAAGCTAGAATGCTAAAGGAAGCTTGTTCAGCTCCCTCTATAATAGATATTGAATATGAGGGCAAAAAAAATGTGCTGTGAATGCTATTAAAGAAAAGGAAACAGAAGCGGCAGTTAAATGCAATGAAGTGAAGGATTCTGAAACTGCAGTTGATAGCTATGTAGGTGTGAAGGAAGCTGAGGCTAAAGACAAAGCAAAGGAAGCGGAAGCAAAACCTGATAAAGTGAATCCTAAGGGCGACGGAGTAAAGGATTCTAAAGATGAGCCTAAGGGCGACGGAGTAAAGGATTCTGAAGATGAGCCTAAGGGCGACGGAGTAAAGGATTCTGAAGATGAGCCTAAGGGCGACGGAGTAAAGGATTCTGAAGATGAGCCTAAGGGCGACGGAGTAAATGATCCTGAAGCAAGACCAACTGGAGATACGGAATCTAAAATAAAGAATAAGGGAGATCTACAAAAACTTAAGGGCAACCCAGGGGATTGGCTCTCAAGGTGGGGGCAATTTGATAAAATTAATGCTAATGAAAAATATGAAGATGCAAATTTAAAGAAAAGGGAAGATTTTGAGGCTGAGTCCAAAAGCGATAGAATAGGGGATTCGGAAGCTGAAGCCAAGGGTAATGGAGTAAAGGATTCTGGAACGGCAATTAAAGGTTATGAACCGGTGAACAATTCTAGAGCGGTAGCTGAAGGCGCTGACCAAGTAAAGATTTCAGATGAAACTGAATCGATTGATGATAATGAGGAAAATGAGGAAGAAGTTGTCAGAATTCCAGCATCGAGGAAATTGGTGGAAGAAGAAAAGATAGATGCAGAACAAGGTACTGATTCAAAGGTGGAAGAAGAAAAGCTAGATGTAGAACAAGGTACTGATTCAGCGGTGGAAGAAAAGATAGATGCAGAACAGGGTACTGATTCAAGGGTGGAAGAAAACCCAGCTGCAGAACAGGGTACTGATTCAAGGGTGGAAGAAAACCCAGATGCAGAACAAGGTACTGAATCAAGGATGGAAGAAGGGATTATTGATACAAAAGATTGGTTGAATGATGGGTTCATCGAAGGAGTTGATGAAATTCCACCTGAGGGAAAGGGATACTGGTTTCCTGATCGCCCTGTATTTGGGTGTGGGTCCGAAACGACGCCTATACGGCCAGTATGTGACGGCGCTTCCTGTCGAGGACACGGCGCACGCGCCTTAAGACGGTATTTGAAGAGGAGACCCATTCTACTGAGGAGAATCCCGGAAATAAGGATGAAATATCGGAAGAATAGATTCGGAATTTTGGCCGACATGGGGAGATATTTCCAGGTAATGGCCATCAAGGAAAATGATTGGGACTACCTCCGATTTCTTTGGAAGAGGAAGATGGACGCTTGTGGGGCAACCTCGGGTGGTGTGTATGGAGAGGGTGCCGCAGTGTGCCGAGGAGAGGATGGTTTTCCTGGACGAGAGCCTGGGCTCCCTGCAACGGTGTCCCACCTGCCTGGATATTCCCATCACGGTGGAACGGATTTTTTTCTTTTTACAAAAAAGAAAGGTGGGGGTATGTTAAAAGTCGTGACATAGTATGTAAATATCTTTTTGAATGTATGACTGGAAATGTAGATTTTCTATTGAATGTATAAATTATTATTATGTAAATGCCTTTGAATGTATATAACTAAGCCGTGTTGTTTAAATAAAGAGTTTCTTAGTAGAGCGAGAGCTTCTGCGTGTGTAGCCGCTGGTTTTTGTCTTCGTTATTTCCTTTCTGGCTTGATCACCTGAGGCAGCTCAAACTACATCAAAACTTTAGGTCAAAGTTTTACTTGTTAAGAGGAGGTTTCTTCAATCTGACCTCGCGTACCTTAACAATATAAGAGTTAACACGCTGGGGCGGGTACCTCGGAGGTTGGGTGGATAATCTGCCAACTATTTGAACTATGTATTACTTTGGTGTTGCTATTCTCTGGCTCTAATACTATTTATTAGCAATGTTCTTTCAGTATGAAGGAAATTGCACTCGGGGGAATTCCCGGGCGAAGCCGGGTCTTTCGTCTATAAATGATAATTTCCACCAGATGTGCACGAATGTATATACTGTGCTTAGGAATAATTTTATTTAACCTTTCTTGAAATGCTGCTTCTAATAAATTAAAATATACCTATTTCAATTTGAAGCCACTATCTATACTTACTTAGGGTAAACCCGGGGCGTTGCCCGGGTCACTCGGCTAGTTAATATATAAAGAGGGTTCTAATGTCGTTGTTTCAATTATGTCTATAGTCCATTATATAAAATACAAATTGAAAATGAAATAAATCATTTCCTCAACTCTCTGAAGAAAAATACGGAAGCCCTCCATGGTGCTAGTTCGGAAAAGGGCTCGCTGCCTGGAACAAGAGTTTGCCGATTGCCCAAATTGGATTTGAAGATCTGCGATGGAAGCAGTTTAGAATTCGGGATGAGTGAGAAGCCAAGGGTTGTAGGAATTACCTTGATGAAAGGAGTTGATCCAGCTTCTATTAAGGAAGATGCTGGGATTGTGGTATCATCCGAGCAAATGGTAGAAGAGACATCCAAGCAGATTGCCGTTGAAGAAAGTAAAAGGGCTCAAGTTGTAAAAAAGCATTTTGCTGAAGACGGTGAAAGGGCTCAAGTCGAGAAAAGGTCTGTTGTAGAAGTTGACGAAAGTCAAAGGGCTGAAGTTAAGAAAGAATCCGTTGAAGCAGATGAAGAGAAAGGGCTGGATGTGGAACAAGGAATGGATTCAAAGAACACTGAAGAAGTGAAGCTGCTTTATGCAGAACAAGGTACTGATTCAAAGATGGCAGAAAAGCTAGATGCAGAACAAGGCACTGATTCAAAGGTGGCAGAAAAGCTAGATGCAGAACAAGGTACCGATTCAAAGGTGGCGGAAAGGCAAGACGCAGATTTAGAGAATGGGAAAGACTCAGAAGCTGAAACCAAGGACAATGAAGTAGGGGATTCTAAAACTGCAATTGAGGCTTGTGAATCGGTGAGCAATTCTAAAGCGGTAGCTGAGGGCGCTGATCAAGTGGAGATTTCAGATGGTGAAACTGAGTCCATTGATGATATTGAGGAAAGGGTTGTCGGAGTTCCAGCATCGAGGAAATTGGTGGAAGCAGGACAAACTGGAGATGCGGAATTTAAAGTAAAGGGATGCTATCTTCCCGATCGCCCTGTATTTGAGTGTGGGTCCAAAACGACGCCTATACGGCCAGTGTTTGACGACGCTTCCTGTCGAGGAAACGGCGGACTCGCCTTGAGGCGGTATCTGAGGAGGAGACCCAGTCTATTGAGAGGAATCCCTGAGATAAGGATAAAATTTCGGGAGAATAAGTTCGGAGTTTTGTTGGACGTGGGAAGATATTTACGGATGATCGCCATTAAGGAAAGTGATTGGGACTACCTCAGATTTCTTTGGAAGAAGAAGATGGACAACTGATGGTTTTTGGGCGGGAAATGGTTGTAGACGATTTTAATTAAGTGCCCCGTACCTCAAAATCCGGAAGAAAAGGAAGTGGTTGAATATGATAATGCAAAGGTTGGAGAAAGTAAAGCGCTTTCTAAAAACGGTTGTACCATCCAGATCACCTATGTGAAGAGAGAACCAATGGAAAAAGGTTCAATTGGCAAATATCTTCCAAACAATAAAATGCAACTTGTATCGAAGGAAACTGTTTCTGGAACTGTAATTACTCCAATATTATATACTTCGGCCAGTTCTCCAGAAAGGCAAGTGCCTACTCCAGAGAAAATCTTAATTTAGGAGACAAGTCTCCAGAAAAGTCTGGTAAAATGCTAAACTGGAAAGGATTGCGAATCCGGTAGATTATAGGAATATTATATTGAGGGGTTTGAGATCTCTAAAGAAGATTTCAGAATCCTTCAGACGATAGCTCCAAGCCTGCAGACGATGCCTTAGCATCAGATCCTGATTCTTCAAAAGGTAAAGCTCAAGGTTCTCAAGAGGTTTCAGAAATTACAGTGGAGGATTCTGACGAAAGGTCTGCATTTGAGGATTCTCAACCTTCAGAGCCTCTTGATGTGGAGGGTTCTGAAGTGGGGGCTTCAAGCGATGTAGAGGTAAGAGCTCAAAGAGCCCTAAAGCCATATCTTCAAAATACCTTGCATGAAGAAAGAAGAATCCAGCATAGACTTGGAAGAGGAAGACACTGGAAGAAACGAACCCTCTCCAGTCTCA